AAACAAAATTACCAAATAGCCAATATTTACAATCCACAAATGAAATTTGAACTTTATAATGAAAAATGTAATGATGGTATAACTTATCGTATTCATATCAAAAAGATGAAAGAATAAAATCTGAGAGGATGAAGACTCATACGTCGGCAAAAATCGAGAAAGGGTTTTAGAAATAACTTCAATTCTGAATGAAGGAATATATGAATTTCATTTAGACAAAGAAGGAATAACGAGGGAAGTGGAGATGATTAATTCGAATATCGAATTTGTCAATTTAAAATAATAAAAGAAATGTCAGCAAAAATAATTTATGAAATCTTTTTAAAATTCCTTATTTCTTAAAAAATATTTTTAAACTAAAATCTTTTTTTCCGAAACTTCTAATAAATTGAAGTCAATTACTGAATTTTTTATTTCATTTATGATTAAATATTTTAAAAATTTTTTGTTTTTCATTTTTTTTCAATTAAATTATTCTTTATTAAATTTATTTTCATCAAATGTTTAACAGGTTAATGCCTGTAGATCTTTTTTTAAATACATTTATGCACATTTTACTTAACATTTACTCAATATAGTGTTTAGATTAAATTTTCAGCGAAAAATTTTTTGACAGAAAGATTTTTCAAAAAAAATTTTTCGTTAAATTTTGGCTCTACATAGTTTAGGACATGCGTTTGTCTTTCAAAGTCTATCCCATCTTTCCTCTAATTTCAAAATAAAAAGTTGATCCATCGTTTGCTTCTTCAATTACAAATGAAAATCTAATCTTCGGATTGTGAATATTTGCAATTTGGTATTTTGTACATTTTGTACCACAAAATTGTTTAATTTCAACTTTTTCAGCCCTTTCACTTAATTTAAGACTTATGGGGTTAGAAAAAATAAAAAGAATAAAAGGCAACATTTTTGAATAATCTCTACATGTTGCTATATACTAAAATTTGAATTTATTTTTAAATTTTGCATGAATAAACTTCGATAAGACGATTATAAAGTATCTGTACATTTATAGTAATATCATCCACAATTCCTGGAGAATTATTAAAAATCAACTCAACTACTTCAAAATTGTCTCCTCCATTTATTAAAAATTTAAATAAATCATCTTTAGATTTCTCTATAATTTCTTTAGATAAAGGAAAATAAATATAGTAGTTTCGCTAATTAAATTATTTAAAGTAAATTTAAATATATTTTCAATATTGTAGTCATTAATAAATAGTTCGCATTCTCGAACATAAATTTGTTTTGGAACTCTTCCAAATAATAATTGAATCAATTCTGGATTAAATATAAAGTTTTCAAAGTAGCAATAGTTAAATGAACAATTAAATAATTTATTTAAATAATAATAAATAATTTTTAAGTCCTCTTTGCTTTTGATAATTGTTGGCAATTGAATTATAATAGGATGGGACTTGCTTACACAAACTTAAAAATTTTGAATTAAAAGAAAATTGAAACGCTTTAGTCCGAACAAAATTTATTTACCGAAAAATAAAAGGTCACGAAAGTTATTAGATAAAATTTGAGGCTGAAAAATGTTTGGGATATAGTTCAGTATACCAGACTTTTAGTTCCAATATAAGACCCATAACATTCGATTCGTCTCAGCGAGCTGAGTCGAATTGTACCACAATTTTTTGCCGGAGATGCCTGTGGACCGAGATATAGGTCCCCGAAAATCTAAAAACCATAGATGGTAGACTCCGCCGCGAGCATAACTCAGAGCGAAGCTCTGAGTTTTGCACAAGCGCCTCGCCGACGCCCCATAGGCCCCCCTTACTCCCCCTATGGTTTTCGATTTTCGGGGATTATATCTCGGTCCACGGGCATCTCCGGCAAAAAAGACTGGTACCGATCGACTCAGCTCGTCGAGACGAATCGAATGGTATGGGTTTTGTATCGGAACTTAGACTCCGTTATACTAAACTACAACCAATGTTTGCATTTCCCCTTTTGTATAGTAGAAGGAGAATTTATACGACACGGTATTTTACGGTTTCTAAACTCGCAAACTGAGGTTGACTCAAAAATTTTATTAAATATAATTTAACCTTTAGATAAGCAATCAACAATGTTGCTATCTAAATCTTGATTAGGCAAATACAAATGAATTGGGGTTTCTAGTCCATTTTTCCACTAAAAAGGAAGGAAATTTTGAATTTTATAGCTTTTTAAATTAACCTTCTCTTCAAGTTGTTCATTCAATGGAAAATCAAAATCTATATTTTTAGGATTAACTAATGTATGAGGTTTTTTTTCGAATTTATCGATATCATTCTAAAATTTCGTAAAATTAAATTAATTAAAACTAATTACAATATAGATATAATATAATTTCTCCCTAGCAAGTTCCCCTTCAAAATTATTAACAAAAGCACTAAAATACAAATTTGTTTGTTTAATTGAACATAATTCTTTATAGCTGAAGAATTTAAAAATATCAAGTTTTATTTCTGTTGGTAAAGAATAAAACATTTTTTGAAGAACTAAGAGATTAATAAATTTTTATATTTTGAAAATATTTAAAAATAAATTGGCAGGATTTAACCAGCTAAAAATGTGTTGGAAATATATTTATAAAAAAAATTTATTAAAACCCCCCAATAAGTCACAACATCAAATGAAAGAGTAGATTATGAACTTAAAAGTAAAGTTAAATAAATCAAGTTTATTAGGGAAAGTTTCTTGTTTTTAAGTTTAATATAGGAGAATTTACCTCAATGTGACCCAGACATTTTTACTGAGAAGATAGGCGTCATTTCTCCACAATATTTGAAAGAATGTCAATCCAATGTAAAGAGTAGGGCTGTGAATTAGATGGAGAAAAACAAAATATATTAATCAGAATTTTTAATTTTTATTCACAATTTAATTCAATTAAGTATTTTCATTAATTTTTTGGTGAGGTAATAGTAAAGTATAAGCGTTGGAGAAAGATACTGTTTTGCTCGGACAAAAATAATCAAATTTACTATACTTTAGCCACCGGCTAAGGTATATCTAGTACAGCTTTATTTAGATAATAAAATGTTTTCCCTTCCAACTGAAGTTCAATTTGATGTTTTAAAATGTCTTAATTTCAACCAATTATTCTCTTGTAAATTAACAAATATTTACTTTTACAATTTAATTAATAAATATAAGGAGGAATTGGCACGAATGAAATTCAATACTCTTTCTTTTGTGAATATTTATTAACTGATTTTAACTCAAATTTTTTAGATTGATGGAAATCCAACTTTAAATGTGCATGACATTATTGAACTTAAATCTTGAGTTTTTGAATTAACATTAAATGATCAACTTAAAAATAAAGTTATACTTATAATTTTATGTTAATTTAATTTTATTTATCTTTTTAGTGGCAAGCAGCGATAGACAGATCAATTCCTTTGTTTTTGCATGAATTTAAACCTGACAGAATCTTTTTTTGTATTTCTAAAGGTTTACAAATACATTTAAAATAATGGCTCTATCTTAGGACATGCGTCCCATGACCTTTTATGCGTCCCTTGAAAGTTTATGCGTCCCATGGAGGTTTATGCGTCCCATGAAAGTATGCGTCCCAAAAATAGTATAAGCGTCCCTTCAAAATATATGCGTCCCAAAATTAATATAAGTGTAAAACAATTGCGAAAACATTTTTTAATTTTATTAATGACAATTAAATATTAGTCCTTGAACTTGGATCTAATAATTTTGCTGGTAATTTGCAATTACGTTTTACAAATTTACTTAAAATGAGGCCTAGGTTTATATTTTTCAAAGGGTCCTTCTTGATTGATTTTAATACAGATGGACCATTATTTGAACATTTACGATATGTAAATGCTGAAAATGTTGAACCTGGATTAGCGATGGCTGGGCAACATATGGGGGTTTAAACAACCTTTAGCAAAGGTGGATTAAACAACATTCAGCAGGTTTAGACAACCTTTAGCGATGCATAATAAAATATTTAAATTTCATTAATACAATTAAAAAAAGTTTACAAAATTCTCTTTCGCTTATATTAATTTTAGGACGCATATAAATTCTTGGGCCGTAGCAGCTTTTATAGGACGCATATACTTTCATGGGACGCATATACTATTTTTGGGACGCATAAACCTCCATGGGACGCATAAACTTTCATGGGACGCATGTCCTAAGATAGAGCCCAAAGGAATTGGTTTTTCTAATCCATTTTTGAACTAAAAAGAAAGGAAATCTTTAAATTTTTAATTAATTTACTACCTTCTCTTCAAGTCGTTCATTCAATGGAAAATCAAAATTTTTATTTCTTGGCTTCAATAATTTATGAGGAATTACTTTGAATGTGTCGATATCTCCCTTAAAAAATATTTTATTTGAAATTAATTAAAAATATTACAATATAAATTTTAATTAATTTCTTCCGAGCAAGTTTTCCTTCAAATTTATTAACAAAAGCACGAAAATATAGATTGGTTTGTTTGATTGAACATAATTCTTTATAGCTGAGACACTTAAAAATATCAAGTTTTATCTCCGTTGGTAAAGAATAAAACATTTTTTGAAGAAAATTTAATAAAAGCCTGAAAATTAAGTTTAAAAATCATTCAAAAATCTACACCGTTTTTATCCAATGTGTTAGTACTAGCAGAAGAACAATAGCGAGTAGTAATAGAAGAAACTGGACTAACACTGATTTGTGAGGTCTAGACTAAATAAGCTTTTATACTAGGGTATGGGACGATTCAGTATATATTACAGCAAGCAGAAACAAATACTAGAGTCCGGCAAAATCGCATTCCCGGGACTCATTTTAAAAACTAATGTAAAGCTAAAGAAAGATAATGAAATAAATTTAATTTATTGAAAAAATAAAATAGAGTAGCTCAACAATTTTTTAATCAAATTTATTTGGAATAAAAAGTGAGGTCACATAATTAATAATTATAAGGAGTAATATTTTTGTTTATTTTTTAATTTGATAATGGCGGCAACAAAATATGTTAATTTCTTCCAATTTAAACTAGGTTAAGTCGCGCCTGAATCATTTCTTCTAATCTTTTGCCTTTCGACATCTTTAAAAAAGCATTAAAAAGATGTGGAGTTTCTCTTAAATCCTTAAATATTGCCTCCTTGTCTTCCTGTGATTTTGCTTTTTTAAATCTTTCAAAAAATGGACGAACACGCTCCGTTGCTATCATTTGACTTGGTTGATCCTCTTTAGGTAAATTGTTGTCAATAGGCTGTTGAATAGGCTGTTGAACCATCTGTGATTGACCTAAATGTTTAGCTGTTTATTTAACGCTTCATGATCAACTTTTCGATTAATTAAACCAACCACTAAGGATTTTTGGCACTTAAATGTGGACGGAATTAAGGATTTACCTGTTAGAGTAGATAAATGCTTTGCTTGTTTAGAAGCAAGCTAGAATGACTGTCTTCCTATTAGGGTCCAGTACAGGCCGAAATTTCATTTCTTTTCGCCCTTTCGTGCCCTTTTTCCATTTCGTTTCGTTTCGGAACGAGACCAAAAAAATTTATTTCGTTTCGATTTGAAATAAGTTTTATTTCGTCCAGCCCTGTAAGGGAGGGATCTGAGCTTCACGCTAAGTTGAAGTTTTCTCAGTGTATATGGGATGAGCGAACTAATTTATCAATTAAATTCCTAACTAGCATCGGATATACCTTGCTCTCGTGCAGTAAAACCACCTTGATGTGTATATTTTTTAACAGGATTACACACAGGACAATCTTCTTTAGTACAATTTTTCCAATGAGAAATTATTTGGCGTGAAGAAGCACAATGAGCAAATTGACATTGACGTCCAAATGTACATTTAACCATGTGAACCAAAACTCCTTTCATTACACTACAATAAGGAAGTTCACAATGGTGATGCGGGTTCGACTATTAAAAAATTCGAAAAGTTAATACTATGTAATATAATGGAGAAAACCTTTTCTATTTGTTGACATTTATGAGCATGCAAAAGAAGCACAAGTTGTTGTAGAATTAATTTCCGTTTTTCAGGATCTTGTGGTTGTAGTACTGAACTCACATACGGTTGGGTTGGCAATTGCTGTCTTATATGGGTTAGGTTTGCTTTTCAGAATCTTGCACCTTAAAGCGTTCACCGAACCGGGTAAGAATGTAGTCTATCGCTGGCTTATTGCTAAGCGCTTACGCTCACCGCGTATAGATGCTCTATATACATAGGTACCGCGGCGCTATTTTCACTTATATTGTACTATTACTCTTGTAATAAGCTCAGTTTATTCAACATGTTTATCCGGTATTTAACATATTATAAGTCTACTTTTAATAGATCTTAAGCCCTTGCCCAGTAAGCATTTTAAATACCAACCGACCCATTCTTCCTTCCACTATTCAGTAATCGCATGTTTGACTACGACTAATATGAGGCGTCTTAAAAAGCAAACCTAGGCAATATAGGAGGTTCTGGCGGTTGTTGGACTGGATTAGCCTTCTTTAAAAATAAATTCTTTATCAAGTCAAAAAAAGTTACGAACATTAATCTCCTCCATAAAAACACCCAATGTTCGGTAATAACCATTAGATCCAAGAAAGTTGATTACTGACTGTCTGAACCAAAAAAGGTTTATTAAAAAATATTTTTTAATGTCACATACATATTAGTAGGGGGATTTAAAGCCCATTCCATCTTTATTGAATTTGTATAATACACAAGAAACGGACAATTTCTAAAGTTGGTTTCAATCAATATAGTAAACCTGTCTGGCTAAATATCTTTCAAAAAGTTGCTTCTAATTTTTGAAGCAGCTAAACTAAAATTGGGAAAGGGGTCAGATTTCAGGCTACGTTCAAATGTTGAAGTCCAGGTTATAACCTCGAATATATTCTTGGTTCGATGTGATATTTGCAGATTAATAAACAAACTTTCTCTATTTATCAAAGTCTGAAATTTGCATGAATTACTTGTGTAAATAAGCAAAAATAATAGTAAATTGAGATCGATGGACCAAAAAGTAAAGGAACAAAGACGAGACAAAAAAATGTACAGCAAGCTAAGGAGGAAGCTTAATAAGCAAGTAAAAAAGGTTGTGTCAGAAAGGCGCGCCGACATTTGCGCCGATAACATTAACGCCGCGCCGACTTGCCATAGGGTTGCTTGGTCAGATTTTTGTAGCTATTTCCCCTCATAAATGAGGAGAAATAGCTTCACTCTTCATTTGACCATTTCTATTTTCCTTTTCTTGCATCTGGCCATTTTACAATTTACCATGCTTTCGTTTATTTTTAGTTAGTATTTCCTTTTTATTTAAACTATTCCCCCAAAACATATTTTAAATGTTTCTTTGCTTTTTATCGTTTTACAACATTTCCCCAAACTTTATTTGAATTTATTTCTCTTTATAGTTTCATATCACCTCTTACTTAACACCTACATTTATATACCTATATTTCAAACTTGTACATAAATATTTAACCTTTCTCTACTTCCCGCCCTTTATCACATATACAAATAGCTTTTTATATTTCTAATTTTTGCCTTAGTTTGAACTGGACTTTTTGTAAATAAATAGTTTTAATTTGTTTTTTGGTTTAATAAGTCATTAAATTGAAAGACAATATAGAAATAAATATAAGACCGGGGACATTATAATTATAATCTGTTAACGGAGCTGGGCAGGGCTGCGTCGTAATTACGAATTACGGCATTTTTTGAGTTACGAATTACGTTTCCGAAAATTTTTTAAAAATTACGAATTACGATTACAAAAAAAAATTTCGATTACGACGCAACTCTGGAGCTGGGTAATAGTTTGGAATTCGTCCCCCTTTTTCCTTTCTATTTTTTTCTAGTTTCTTCTCATTTTTGGCAAATTATTAATCATTCGAAAGTACTCTTCGAGTTGAGTCGCATGAAATTAAAATCAACGAAATCTGACATAAGTGAACATAGTTGTCACCGTTTATTTTATGCCCTTGCATTGGCAAAAAAATCTTACAAAAGGATTTAGCTTCATAATTTTGGTAAGAATCATCAGATCTAGCCAATCATGGTATCAGAGCTCTTTCGAATGATATATGTATAATAAACTATATATCATTAAAAAAGCTCAAAATGGTCAAGGAAACGTAAAAAAAGGTGAGGGGAATTCTAAACTGTTACTCGGAGCTGATCTGTTGAAAAAAGGATGCCGCTTAACCGTTAGACAGAAAGTTTTCGTTCACCAATTTTAGATATTGATTGGCTTGAAATTTAGAATGTTTTCTCTTCCGACTGAAGTTCAACTTGATGTATTAAAATGTTTTAATTTTAATCAATTATTCGCTGTTAAACAAACCAATTTTTATTTTTGCAATTTAATTAATAAATATGAGGGGGAATTGGCACGAAAGAAATTCAGTGAAATCTCAATAGTAAATATTTATTAATAACTAATTTTTTTATTCAAATTAATTTTTAGTTTGAGCTTGACTCTTTTCGAATGTCAAATATAGATAAATTGCTTGAACTAGAATCTGGAGTTTTTGAAGTTACTTTAAATGATCAACTTAAGAAGAAGGTTAAATTAATTTTCAATTTTAAATTTCTTCATTATTTCTAGTGGCAAACAGCTATAGACAAATCAACTCCGTTATTCTTAAATAATTCTGGGCCTGATAGAGAGTTAATGGTTACTATTGAAAAAACATTTATCAATTTATCGGACACAAAATCTTATTATATTTTAAAATTACCAAACTCTCCAAAAAACTTTAAAGAAATGATCATTATTCGTTGCTGGTTGCAACATTTATTTAATTGTGCTTTTGAGTTTGGTTGTTTTGATAAAAGCATTTTTAACCCAGAAATGATCAATATATTATTTGATAACGACAAAACAAGTCCTCCTAAATTTAACATTCAAGGAGCAACTTTATATGCTAGCAATAAGACATTCCAGAATGTTTTAAGAACTTCTCTAAATCATTTAACGATCTCTACATGTCTTTATATTAATTTACAATCTGTTGATATCACAGAGCAACATACAGATATTTTATTTAACATTTTAATAAATGAAGGCAATAAATTTTCAAAAATTTACTTTACTAGTTCTAAATTGACAAGGCTACATGATCTCATTTTAAAAGTTGGTACCTTGTTCATATCCCCCACCCCCTATTTTAGTCTCAATAATTTTTTTTCTTGTTATCAAACATTATAAGTAAAAGCGGAGTAATTAGGAAGGAAAAAATAGACGGAAACTAAAAATCATACTTTCGGCAAAAATTAACATTTATAAAGAAGGAAATTTGACTATTACGAGACAGAGCTGAATAAAAGAAAAATCAATCTGAGACTTAAATAGGGGTGGAGGGGGGGGGGTGTTTATGAACAAAGTACCTGAAAATTTTATCTGTTTATTTTAAAAATAAATTTAATTTTTAGTATATAACAACATCTAAAGATTGTTCAAAAATGGTGGGGTTGATTATTCTAGATTGCATTACCTTTACAAATTTTAAATTAAATGAAAGAGCAGAAAGGGTTGTACCTAAACGAGGAAGGGGCTCCAAATTTACAACTTACCAAATTGCCAATATTTACAATCCAAAACTGAGATTTGTATTTTGCAATGTAGAAGTAAATGAAACGCATTTTTGCGCTTATATCAAAAAAATGAAAGAGTAGAATGTGGGAAATCAAATATTTTTAAGGAATATAAAACGATATTTTTAAAAATTTATTTATGTATTTGATAGACTTTCGATTAAATTATTTTCGTTTTATGATGTTCTTACATAAAACAAGTCTTGTGGAAGAAAATAACATTCTAAAGAAGGAGAGACAAAATCGTATCCTGATTCTAAATCAGGGCTACACGCAATTGCGAGTTGCGGATTGCGTAAAATATGGTTTCTTGACATTCAAATTTCACAAAAGTTTCGCCTGCGGCGTTAAAAAAGGAGGAAATCTGGCTTCTTTTTCTTCCCAAATTCTGAAAATTTTCGCCTCCGGCGATGTAAAAATAGTTGAATGGGTACTTTATGGATATGTCACCCCCCTCCTATTTTGAGTCTCAGAGTTTTCCTTATGCGTAGGAAATGGTCAGAGTATTCTCTTCTCCATGTCAATCATTTTTTTCTTCAAGTATTCTGCTTGTTCATTTTGCCTTTTCACATATTTTGTACTTACATTTCACTCATTTCGTTTCTACATTTACCAGATTTCACTTGTTTTGCTTGAAAAAAGAAAAATGATTGACATGGAGAAGAAAATAATCTCTGACCATTTTCTACGTTTAAGGAAAACTCTGAGACTCAAAATAGGAGGGGGGTGACATATCCATAAAGTACCGTTGAATGATATATGTATTGGAGGATTTTTTCTACTTTTTAAAACTTGCGGATTGCGAGTTGCGGAAATTGCGTAAATTGCGGGGTTTTTGCAATTGCGTGTTGCGTTTGCAGATTTTTAAAAAGAAATTGCGAGTTGCGCATTGCAGTTGTGGAATTTCTTTCAATTGCGTGCAGCCCTATTCTAAATGCTATTTTCTACCGCAAGAAAAAACTTTGGGGGATGTTATTTTTTGAGGGATGTCAACTTTGGGGATGTTAATCTAACAACGGCAAAGTTATTTCAATCAGAGGAAAGGTTTTTAAAATTTTTATGCTATGATTTTATAAAGTGTTTTCTCTTTAATTATTTTTCTAGTTTATTTTAAATTTTTCATTCATATTCTTGCTTAGCACGATAAGAGAAATCGAATGGTATATCGCCCTCATATTCTATTTTTGCCTTTATTAGCAATTGCTTAAATTTTGGTCTTTTTTGCCATTATATGGGTTTGCCATTATATGAGTTTTCCCTTATTTTTCCGGCTGAGGGCGATTTTTGAATGTCTAAGTAAACATTTCTGACACAACTTTTCCTACTTGCCTAGGCTTCTTTGTGAGCTTGCTCTACATCTTTTTCTTTTTTGTTTCGTCTTTGTTCGTTTACTTTCTGGTTCATTGATTACTTTTATTTTTTGCATATTTACACAAGCAATAATTCATGCAAATTTCAGACAAAGTATATACTGAGAAAAGTTTGTTTGTGAATCTGCAAATATCACATCGAACCAAGAATCTATTCAAGGTCATAAACATTTTCACCAACTTTTATAGGTATCCTAGGATTTGACCCCTTTCCCAATTTTTGTTTAGGAGCTTCAAAAATTAGAAGCAACTTTTTGAAAGATATTTAGCCAGACAGGTTTACTATATTGATTGAATCCAATTTTAGAAATTGTCTATTTCTTGTGTATTACTATAAATTCAATAAAGAATGGAATGGGCTTTAAATCCCCCTGCCAATATGTATGTGACATTAAAAAATATTTTTTAATAAACCTTTTTTGGTTTAGACAGTCAGTAATCAACTTTCTTGGATCTAATGGTTATTACCGAACATTGGGTGTTTTTATGGAGGAGATTAATGTTCGTAACTTTTTTGACTTAATAAAGAATTTATTTTTAAAGAAGCCTAAACCAGTCCAACAACCGCCAGAACCTCCTATATTGCCTAGGTTTGCTTTTTAAGACGCCTCATACTAACCGTGGTCAAGCAATGCTTTAGTGAATATATCTGAATATTTTTGACTAATTTAAGAAAAGGGGTTCAGCTGGCATTTAAATGCTTTCTAGGCAAGGTTTAAGAAATATTAAAAAAGTTGAGTGTTGTGTAGACTTAGGATGTGTGTAAATACCAAGTGAACATATTGCCAAACAAACTGAGCTATACAGGGTGACCGAGATCGCCAAGCAATAAGCATCGATAGATGCCGAATCCTCGAACGCTAAGTCGCAAAAAGAGTTGTATCTCAAAAAGCAAACCTAACTTATATAAGACAACAAATGCCAACCCTACCTGATGCGGGTTTAGAAATACCACCACATCCACATGAACATGAAAAACGAAAATTAATTCAACAACAACTTGTGCTTCTTTTGCATGCTCATAAATGTCAACAGAGAGACAAGGTTTTTCCTTTATAGTATTGGTTGTAAAAATTTTTTAATAGTTGAACCTGCATTACCGTTGTCAACTTCCTTATTGTGAAACAATGAAAGGTGTTTTGGAACACATGGTTAAATGCACATCTGGACGTCAATGTGTATTTGCTCATTGTGCTTCCTCCCGACAAATAATTTCTCATTGGAAAAATTGTGCTAAAGAAGATTGTCCTGTGTGTAATCCTGTTAAAAAATATACATTTCAAGGTGGTTTTACTGCACGAGAGCAAGGTAGTCATTTTTGGAATATCCGAATGCTAGTTAGGAATTTAATGGAATAGTCAGTCTGCATATCCCAAAGAGAAAACTTCAACTTAGCGTGAAGCTCAGATGCCTCCCTTATAGGGCTGGCCGAAATAAAACTTTTTGTTTCGAATCGAAACGAAACAAAATGGAAAAAAGGGAACGAAAGCAATTGCCAACCCAACCGTATGTGAGTTCAGTACTACAACCACAAGATCCTGAAAAACGGAAATTAATTCTACAACAACTTGTGCTTCTTTTGCATGCTCATAAATGTCAACAAATAGAAAAGGTTTTTTCCATTATATTACATAGTATTAACTTTTCGAATTTTTTAATAGTCGAACCCGCATCACCGTTGTGAACTTCATTATTGTAGTGTAATGAAAGGAGTTTTGGTTCACATGGTTAAATGTACATCTGGGCGTAAATGTCAATTTGCTCATTGTGCTTCTTCCCGTCAAATAATTTCTCATTGGAAAAATTGTACTAAAGGAGATTGTATTGTGTGTCGTCCTGTTAAAAAATATACACATCAAGGTGGTTTTACTGCACTGGAGCAAGGTAATCATTTTTGAATTATTCGAATGCTAGTTAGGAATATAGTTGGGCTCTACTTGAGCTATTATGGCGTGCCATGGAGCGTCCCATGTGCTATTATGAGCGCCTATATGCGTCCCATCAAAGTATAAGCGTCCCATCAAAGAACATGCGTCCCAAAACTAAAATACGCGTCCCAGTGGAGCATACCGCATTAAATACACTGCATTTAATAAACCAACATTTAGGTCAACCACAGATGGAACAACAACCTATTCAACAGCCTGTTGACGATATCGGTCAAAATCAGGCTATAAATACTCCGCAACAACGAGCTATAAATAATATATTAAATGAATTGTTTGATGAATACAACTCAGAAACGTAAAAAATTTGGCTCTATCTTAGGACATGCGTCCCATGAACTTTTATGCGTCCCATGGAGGTTTATGCGTCCCATGAACTTTTATGCGTCCCAAAAATAGTATAAGCGTCCCTTCAAAATATATGCGTCCCAAAATTAATATAAGCGTAAAACAATTGTGAAAACATTTTTTATTTTATTAATGATAATTAAATATTAGTCCTGGAACTTGGAGTTGATAATTCTGCTGGTAATTTACACTAACGTTTTATAAATTTAATATAAGGTCTTGGTTTATATTTTTCCAAAAATAATATAAGCGATATGTAAATACTGAAAATATTGGACATGGATCAACCATCATTAGCGATGGCTGGGCAGCGTATGGAGATTTAAACAACCTTCAGCAAAACATAATAAAATATTTAATTTTCATTAATACAATTAAAAAAAGTTTACAAAATTCTCTTGCGCTTATATTAATTTTGGGACGCATATACAATTTTTGGGACGTATATACTTTCATAGGACGCATATACTATTTTTGGGACGCATAAACCTCCATGGGACGCATAAAAGTTCATGGGACGCATAAATGTACATGGGACGCATGTCCTAAGATAGAGCCAAAAATTTTAATTAAATAATATCGGTACTTATTCGTTATATACGCACATTGACTTCCAGTCGATTTTGATCGGCTATGACTTTTAAATGCTTCATTCAATACGTATGAATTTTTATATCTTACGAAAGTCCTCAATAAGAAGTATTCTTTTTCTAATTGGATAGATCGTATCTGATCATTCCTTAAAAAGTAATAATTCGATAAGTTCAGTTATTTGGTGTTTTGCACATCTATCGTGTTATATCTTTTTAACGAGTGACCAGAGCTGATCAGTAAAAATGTAAAAGTACCGCTTATTGAGGGCTTTCGAACGTTATAAAATACACTCGTCATCGATCAAGCATCAAAAGTTATATCGGATCAAAGTTTGGCTGGCACTCAATTTGTAGGTATATAACGGATAAACAATCATTACGAACAAAACTAGATTAACAGTTTTGGCTGTCTCAAGGATTATATAATAGATAATTACAAAATTTTTATTTAGCCAAAGTTCGTTTGTTTACTTTTCTTCAGTTAATTTCTCTGTTTCACTTGGTGATTTGTATCTTCCAAAATCTCCAGTATATATTAGAGATTGGCATGCTTTAATACCAATTAATATGAGAAGTTATTTAATCAAAAAATTGATTAAGGTTAATTAAATTGAAATTTTTTAAATTTTTTTTATATTTTAGGCCGTTTATTTTACAACCAGTCCTTTTGTTATGCATATTCAACCCAGTAAGGATCATATTTATTACGCTCTAAACGAGGAGAAAAACATTTTTGAGAAAGCTTCGAGTAAACAAATTTATTTAAATTTGATAGCCGAATCAATTTATGAAATTCAACAAGGATTGAGGGGAAAGAAAAAATATCGAACAGAAATCGACATGGAATAGTTTTTTGATGGAAAAAATGGGAGCATGAGTGTAGGCTAGTGCCGTCCGGATCCGGCCGGATTTTTTCGGAGTCCGGGTTCCAAATCAGGGTTTTTTGAGATTTCCGGACTAAAATCGGACCGGAAAAATCCGGCCGGATCCGCAAATTCGGTCCGGCAAAATCGATTTTGCCGGGCACTAGTGTAGGCGCATCAATCCGAAAACTTCTAGTTTACTAGTCTTCCAAAAAAAATGACCTGAGTTCGACCGATTCAAATTCGGGTTAAAAATTCGAAATTGAAACTTTAGGGTTAATTTAGTAAAGGAAATAGAAATTGGTAGAGTTCAAATCCGGATTCGATATGAACATATCCTACATTAATGCCCTGACTCGGCTCCCTCGTTTACATATCTTTTAGAAAACCTCGAAAATATCGAAAGAGCACTTCTGCTAATTCTTTCTAAGGAAGACAAGTAAACTAAAATATTACCAACGATCATTCAACCTTCAGGCAGTTATTGCTGAGCGCCTTAGCTTTCTAACAAAGGAGGGTGCCTGAGGTGTCCGTGGGACTTCGGGATGAAATTTGGCAGACAAGTAGATTATACCCTTTCTATTGTAAAACTTCAAACCGTTTCCGCTGCGGGGTACCAGGGACCGAGTTATAAGCCCCCAAAGTTTTAGGATCCCCCTCATTTTTCATTTTTACATATAAACAATTTATGTTTATACACAAATGTGTTCTGCGGTGGTGCAGTGGTAGAGTTCTTGAATTTCCTTTTTTCCCAAAAGTTCGAATCCTAATTGGGCAAATTAATTTATTTTAACATAATTTTCGTTTTTTTTTCTGAAAATTTTGTTTTTAACATTTTTTAAAAATGTTCTACTTTTTTTTGAAAATTTTTAAAAATTTTTTGAAAAAAAACTTATAAAGGAATAATCACAAGGCTTTTTCTGGAACACCCTATTAATGAATAAAGGGAAAAAGTAAATATTTAAAAATATCACAAAAGTTTTTAAAAAATTTTTTTGACAAAAAACATTGGATAAAAATCAAAAATTAATTAAAATAAATTAATTTCCCAAATAAGGACTCGAACCTTGCGGGAAAAAACGCTATGCGAGAACGCTACCACTGCACCACCGCTGAGCACATTTGTGACTAGATAGAAATTGTTTATATGTGGGTGACCCTAAAACTTTGGGGGCTTATAACTCGGTCCCTGGTACCCCGCAGCGAAAATGGTTCCAGATTTGCAATAGAAAGGGTATGTTCTATCTGTCTGCCAAATTTCATCCCGAAGTCCCACGGACACCTGAGGCACCCTCCTTTGTAAGTGTGCTCCTCTACCTACTGTTCTTTCAAGGCACTACTTTCCCGTCCTCTTTTAATAAATCTTAAACCACTGCCTACGTTTTAAATGCCCTTTTGGATTCCATTTTGTCTTGAGTTGTCCATTTAATTTGTATAATAATTGAAATTATTTGTTCACCTCTGCCATTTAATTTTATTTTTTAAAATAATCTCAAAATTATCGTTTTTATTTTTCATTTTTTTAATAAATTTTTAAATAAAAATTGGCATTCCTTAGACTAAATTTTTCATTAAAAACTTGCGAAAAAACTTACATTTACAATGAAATCAAAAAGTTTTTGACAAATTATACGAATATAAACAGACTTTATTGAAAAATAAAATATCTGCAAGTTGGGTTCGTATTCAAGTAGAGATTCGTTTGATTGAATATAATCTAGAACAGATGAAGAATTTAAAAATATCAAGTTTACCAATCAATACAAAGCTTGATATTTTTAAATTCTTCAACTATTAAAAATTTTTTTCTTGAAATAAAGATTGAAATTTTAATGAAAAATACAAATAAATTGACAGGCTTTAACCTACAGAAAATAATGCAAAAAATTTGGCTGTACTTTAGCCGGTGGCCCACTCAGAAACGGGTCAAATTATACCCCATTCGATTCGTCTCGGCGAGCTGAGTCGAATAGTACCATTCTTTTTTGCGGAAATTCCTACGAGCCGAGATATAGGTCCTTGAAAACCGAAAAACCAAAGGGGGGACCAAGCACTTTTTTGGGGCGAAAAATTCGAATATGCAAATAATATCTCATTCGAAAGAGCTCGTCGAGCTGAGTCGAATGACATAAAAATCAACGAAATCCAACTTGATTTGACAAAGTTATGATCTTTTATTTTAGCTCCTTACCTATGGCATCTGTGGAGATTTTTGCTGCTACGGAGGCCCCAAATACGTCCAGAACAAGGGAGATAGGAATAGGTTTATGTTACGAGCCCAGACCCAGCGCCCGTAGACTCCCCGCGAGACGCGTGCCGCAAAACTCCGCGCGAAGCGCGGAGTTTTGCACAAGCGCCTCGCCGACGCCCCATAGGTTTATGTTGCTTGTTTTTTGTGTTGTAACTTTGTCTAAACTTGTTCAATCCCGGTGATTTTGGTGTCTTTCGACTCAGCTTTTCGAGCTCTTTCGAATAACTATAATATGATTAAAAAAATTTAATTTCAAAAATCACCCCAATGGATTACCCGTTTTCAGGGGCCTATATCTCGGTTGAATCAAGTTGGATTTCGTTGATTTTTGTGTCATTCGACTCAGCTCGACGAGCTCTTTCGAATGAGCTATTATTTGCATATTCGAATTTTTCGCCCCAAAAAAGTGCTTGGTCCCCCCTATGGTTTTTCGGTTTTTAAGGACCTATATCTCGGCTCGTAGGAATTTCCGCAAAAAAAAAGAGTGGTACCATTCGCCTCAGCTCGCCGAGACGAATCGAATGGTATATAATTTGACCTGTTTCTGAGTGGGCCACCGGCTAAAGTATATCCAAAAATTTAATAAAAAATAATTTATTCAAAGATCGAATGAATTTACAAAATTTCTCTATTTCATCCCCTATCCTTCAATATTCTGATTCTAGTTCTAAAAATCTCTCTCTCTTTACTCCTCCATTGTTGGCTACAAAATAAAAATTTCACTTTTTGATGGGTAGTATTCGTAATTTCACAAGTTGAAGATGTTAAATTCGAAGCTTGTTCAATTTCAACCTTTCCCTCTTTCACTTTTAAGTTTAATCTTTCGGACGTATAATAATACATAATAATGGCAGGCACCATCTTTGAACAGTCCATAGATGTTGTTATATACTATAAAATTGTTTGTAGTCGGCAGAGGTGGGTCAGAATTCCGAGTTCCGACTTTTGAGCCAGTTCCGATTTCCGGCTCTTCCGATTTCCGATACCTGTGACTGTTCCGACCCACCTCTGGTTTCGTGGCCCATTCATGTTTATTTAGTAAAGCAGCTATAGCTATTTCTCTCCTGCTAATGCAAAGGTCATTCGGCGGCTGGGAGCGAACCAGCATCTTCAATAGACCAGACTTATGTGTTATCCATTACACCTCGCCGCCTACTGCACAGCCTTTGGAATTAAGTAGCTATATGCATACAATTTATCGGCCAGCTTCAAAACATTCGATTCACCTCGTCGAGCTCAGACACCAAAATTACCTTGATCTAGCAAAAGATTAATAAAATATGAATGGGATACGGACTAATGTATTTTAAGGTTGATTTAACTAAAGCAACGCTTAGGCTGGGGTTAAACGATCTAAAAGGAAAAGAGAAAGCATTAGTCGTTGCCCCAAAAGATCAGTGTTAGAGCTCCTGTATGTGGTGAGCGAAAGCGCCGAGCAATAACTACAAGGAGGTTGCAGCTTCGAATCCTGTCCGGTGGCTAAACTTTTGCAAACTCTCTATGTAAATAACTTGCCTTAATAATGAGATTACAAAAATATATAAGTAAGTTTAGATCATTTGTAGCAAATTGAAGTGAAACTCTAGGTATTTTGTTGCCTTCATTTGTTAAAATATTTAATAAATTATCAAAATCCACTCTGAAAATGGAACTGAAATGTAGGTAAAGAATTTCAGAAATTTTTAAATGATTTGAAACGAAATTCCAAATATTTTTGAATGTAGGTCCAGTAGCAAATATAACTGGTCTATCAACGAGAAATTGAAGAGGAATTGTTTTGTCGTCACAAAATAATATATTGAGCATTTTTGGATCTAAAAAAAATTTGATCAATAAAAGCCACTATAAAAACACAATTAAATAATTGTTTTAACCAAAATTTAATAATAGCCAATTCCTTAAAGTTTTTTGGAAAGCTTGGCAATTCTAGAATGTAGCCACAAAGTTTTCCGCCTTCTAAAATGTAAATTACAAAAATAAAAAATAAGTTGGTGTCAAGGACGTCTAGCAGGGTTGAAAAAAGGGCGGGTTGAATAAAATTTTTAAAATTTTTCTCGGATCGGGGTCATGGACAAGGTTGGCGAATAGGTGGAAATCTTCGGGTATCCGAACCGAAATTTCCAGATATCCGGCCTTTTTTTCGGATCCGATCCGCCAACCTTAGTCCCAGAGCCTATTGACTTCAACTGTCGAAAGAAAAATATCAACACAATCTAGGTTAAAAATAAATTGGAGATAATAAGCAAGAAGGGATATAGAAGAGAAGAAAAGTGAAAGTCAATGTCGATATTTTGCCCATTAAAAATTAGAGATCAGACTAGGGGCCTATTCCGCCAACGAGTTTCCTGTCACTGTCGACACAGATACGCAATTTTAATTTTAAAATCCAAAATATGGGTATATAAGAATTAATCTGGGGATATAATGGGATTTGAGAGATTAAGGGAGGTCTTAAGAGATATCAGTGACTTCTATGGAGATCGAGGATTAGGTCTAACTCAGACAAGTAAAATTCATTTTATATGATTATTTCCAAACCTATTTTACTCAAACGAATAATCAATTTTATGTCAGCTTTATCAGAAATCTTTTTTGTCTGCCTCTTATGTAAATATAAAGGGATAGGTGTATCTATCGCCCTTTGCCACTGAAAAAAAAATAATTAAAACTGTGTTCAAAATCTAATCAACCTTTTTTATAAGTTGATCATTCAACGTATATTCAACTAATTCAGAATCAGGGTTAATAATTTTATATTTTTTTATTCTTTTTTTGACATCGTTACTGTTGAAATTTAACTTCAGTAATGAAATTTGATTAAATTCCATCCGAAAGCACAATTCTCCCTCATATTTGTTAATTAAATTGAGAAAGAAGGAATTTGACAATTTAAAAGACGTTAATTGATTAAAATCAAGACATTTTAATACATCAAGTTTTGCTTCAGTTGGAAGAGAAAACATTTTTAATTATCTAAAAAATGGGGGAAATTTTAGAAATACCGTATTCTCTCTATTAGAAGTGCCCCTCCAGTTGAAGGGCCCCCTCTAATAGAAGGGCCCCTTGGAGGACGATTGAAAAATAGAATGGTCGGCCGTTCTATTAGAGAGAATACGGTAAGTTAATGCTTGAATTTATCGGGCAAACAAAAAAAAAGGAACAAAAAATATTTAAAATTTTATTGGCAAAAATAAGAATTTTTCCCTTGTTGCAAAATATGGAATTTTGCAAAATGTATGGATTAAAACAGGTCTTTTATCAAAATATACACAAATTTCTGCGTCTTTTACACTCGAGAGAGTGGGCAACAACACAGGCCTCTGAAGAGAGACATAATTTTGTTAGACAGAAAATGCGTTTACTAAAAGCAAATACCCCAACACGGAGCAGTTCAACTGAGTCACGGCTCAACTGAGTCCCGGCCCTATAACTCAAGTACGGGTTGATAATTTTAATGTTCTTGGTATCATTGGATAGTGAATCAAAAGCTCTACAACATATCAAAAAATCAGAATTTTTGACCGATTGATAAAAAAGTCATGATATAAAAACTAACTTTTCCAAAAAATCGGATTTTTCGGCACTTTATCGATCATAACTTTTTTACCAGTCTGTCAGGAATTTTGATTTTTTGGTATATTGTAGCTTATTTAATGCCCTATCCAATGGTACCAAGAGCAAAAAAAAGTGACCATCCCCTCATAAGTTATAGGGTCCGGGACTCAATTGAGTCGGGACTCAATTGAGGTGTACCGACCCCAACAAACCAGCAAGTCATCTCCCCCTCATTAAAAGTAGTATTTATAATTTGGCTACATATAAGGAAATATTTTGTTGGTTACACCTCAACTGAGTCATGACTAAGATGGTTCAACCCCTACTCGAGTTATAGAGCCGGGACTCAGTTAAACCGGTACTCAGTTAAACTGCTCCGTTCTGTTTCACTCCTCCTTCCTTCTCCACATTTTCCCTTAAATAAATAGCAGCAAAAATACATCAATTTAACTCATTATTTTTCATTTTATAGATTTTCATTTTTAGTTTATTTCTCTTAAATTTGATTAAAAATATACATTTTAAACTAAATGGCACCGATTAATTCGAATCTAAACGACAAAGCAAAATCTCAACAAAACGATCAGATGGGGAAAATGAATAATATTGGTACTTATATTTTGGACATTGCCAAATTGCCGGGCTCATACCCGGGGGTTTTTTAAACAGAACTGCACCGGGCCATGTTTTCTGGGTTAAAGCTCCGAAAACCCTGGTTTCACCAAAATACCCGCTTTACGGACCCGCTCTTTTGCCCATCTCTTGGGTTTTTGTATTTACAAGCTTGGTCTGAATCAGAGGTGGGTTGGAAGGGACACGCCCACTTTGTCGCGCGGCCACATTGTCGCAGAGCCATAACTTGCTAAAAAATTTCTGGCCCTTATCAATTTTGGTACCAATCTCTTTAGCTCGATGAGAGGAACCGTTTAATACCAAATTTGGTAAGATTCGGAAAACTTGAAGGAAGTTATGGCTCTGCGACAATGTGGCCGCGCGACAAAGTGGGCCGTACCCGGGTTGGAACAGTCAGAGGTTTCGAAATCGTAAGAGTCGGGGGCTGTAGTTTAGTATACCGGAGTTTTAGTTCCGATATAAGACCTGTACCATTCGATTCGTCTCGGCGAGATGAGTCGAACGGTACCACTCTTTTTTCCGGAGATGCCTGTGGGCCGAGATATAAGTCCCCGAAAATCGAAAAACCAAAGGGGGGAGTAAGCACATTTTTGGGGTGAAAAATTCGAATATGCAAATAATAGCTCTTTCGAAAGAGCTCCTCGAGCTGAGTCGAATGACACCAAAATCAACGAAATCCGACTTGATTGGACAAAGTTATGATCTTTTATTTTGTCTCCTTACCTATGGCATCTGTGGAGATTTTTGCTGCTAAGGAGGCCCCAAATACGTCCAGAGCAAGGGAGATAGGAATAGGCTCATGTTACGAGCCCAGACCCAGCGCCCGTAGACTCCCCGCAAGGCGCGTGCCGCAAAACCCCGCGCGAAGCGCGGGGTTTTGCACAAGCGCCTCGCCTACGCCCTATAGGTTTAGGTTTTAGTTTTTCTATCGTAACTTTGTCCAAACTTGTCCAATAACGATGATTTTGGTGTCATTCGACTCAGCTCGATGGGTTCTACAATTGTTGTTCAGACGACCAGTTTTTAAATATTTTTCGAAAAAACTGACTGGGGGGGGGGACTAAATAAGTACCTCGCCCCTTTGGATCTTCGATTTTTAGGGGTCTATATCTCGGTCCAATCATGTCGGATTTCGTTGATTTTGGTGTCATTCGACTCAGCTCGAGGAGCTCTTTCGAAAGAGCTATTATTTGCATATTCGAATTTTTCACCCCAAAAATGTGATTACTCCCCCCTTTGGTTTTTCGATTTACGGGGACCTATATCTCGGCCCACAGGCATTTCCGGAAAAAAAGAGTGGTACCGTTCGACTCAGCTCGTCGAGACGAATCGAATGGTACGGGTCTTATATCGGAACTAAAACTCCGGTATACTAAACTATATTCGAGTCGGAAATCGGATCTGGCTCAAAAGTCGGAACTCGGAAATCGCAATTCCGACCCACCTCTGGTCTGAATGACAAATTTTTCAAATTTACCCCCATAAATTTAGGTCAAACTCAAAATTTTCCTTCATTCACACTACAACACCCATTAATGCCTTCATTATCATACCAACAACAACAACAATATCAAATGCTCCCGAATTACACCAACCCAATGTCCAATCCTTCTAATTCGATAAATCAACCTCAAATGTTCCCGGCTTACCCTAATCCAATGTTGAATCCGTCCAATTCAACAACTCAACCTCAAATGCTCCCGAATTACCCTAATCCAATGTCCAATCCTAACGATACAACAACTCAACCAAAACTTGAAAAATGTGGGTGGGTGGTTGGAAATATTTCTTTTCAAGTAAATTTAAGAAAAAGTGTAAATATTATTTTTAAATTTAGGGTGGAATTAACACTTCCGAACTTCATGTTAATTTAAGAAATAACATTACAGTTGGAAAAGTGAATAAATTATTGACTAAAACCACCTTAGATACGTTTAAATTTATTGAAGAATTATTAGTTGATTATCCTTCAAAGAAGGTTGTTCAAGATGGAGGTCAAATGAAGGTAATTAAAATCAGTGTTTGGACTAGAGTAGCAATCAGATCCCGACGGATTTTTTTAGCAAAAACTCCGACCCGAACCCCGATTCCGTCATCCTGCCCCCGAAAGGTCGCGTTGCTATCCTAGTTTGGACTAATTGTCCACTAAAATCTCAGTACTTGTGTAGTTCCCCTCCCCCATAAGCTCCGCCCCTTTTTCTCGCATCGTTATGATTGAGATTAGTAAAAATAAAAAAAAAATAAGATTTGCGCATGGACTCGAATTATGCTAGCCATATCCGGATATATCCGTGGAGTTAATATCCGTTTATATCCGTCCAACATTTGAGTCATACACAACCATGCTATCCGCGAGAATATCCGCTTTTCTCAAAATGGCCGACCGGATATATCTATGTGCAAGTCTGGAAAAATTGGCCTAATTGTCGCTTTATAAGAAAAGAAAGAGTGGAGATAAAGGGGCGGGGCTTAAAGGAGGGAAACTACACAAGTACTAAAAATAATTTAAAAAAATATTCTTTATTAAATTAACAGAAAGAAATACAAGAATCGGAAACTATGCATAAAAAGGAGATTGAAGATTTAAAAAAAGAATGTGAAAAAATGAAGGTTAAGTGTTCTAATTGGGAATATAAATATGGAATGTTGCTTCGACAAATTAATAAAATGAAGAAAAATGAAAGTGGAAAAAATAAAGAAGTAATTTTAAATTTAAATTAGAGTCAGGGCGTTATCTTATTAGAGCTCATTATTTTCAAAAATCTTGGATCTGGATTTAGGTTAGTAACCTGGACTGGATTCTGGATCCAGAAAAAATCCAGGACGATCAAAAAGTGTCTGGATCTGGACTTTGGATCCAGGAAAGATCCAGACTGGATCCGGATCAGGATCGATCTCTATATCGTACTACCTACAGTATTCGGCTATAAAATTTCTGTTCCATCACATGAGGGAAATCAGTGTATTTTGAGCAATCTGAGCCGGTTGGGGTCAGTTGAGCTTGGCCGTTTGAGCGTGGCCGGTTGAGCGTGGCCGATTGAGCGTGAGGACAGTTGAGCGTGGGCCAGTTAAATGTTACAAAAGTTGAATGTTCTCTTTCGAAGCTCTTTCGAATTGTATTCCCCCTATGTTATTTCGATTTTTGGGGCCTATATCTCGATCCACAGCAGTTCCGTGAAGATTTCGATTTTATCATGATTTGATTGTATTTCTACTTAGAAATTAATTTTTAATTTTTTAGGAGGAAAAGAGTAAAGATAAGGCCATATTGGATGTTGTTGATGTTGTTGAAGACGAGGATCCGGAAATTATTAATGATTTTGACTTACTTCAAGATGATAAAATTGAAGAGGAGGAATCTTCAACATGTTCAACATGTTCAACATGTTCAAGTAAAATAATGGGGAAAAAAGTTTGAAAATTGAATAAGATAAAAAGGGGGATTTTTTAATTTTTTTGTAACGTTTAAAAGTTGGATGTATTTGAGTTATTTTTTTTTTATTTTCTTACTTGATTTTATAAATTTATAAAAAAATTTTGATTATTTTTGTCTCCCTATCAGGGTGACCCTTTCCAAACCACTAAAATAGGGCGCAGCCACTCAAAAATGTGGCAAAAATAGGGCAAAAATGGTCAAAAATAAGGCAAAAATGGCTGTACTTTAGTACGCGGGTCCCGGAGTTAATATACAAATCTTATACCATTCGAAAGAGCTAGTCGAGCTGAGTCGAATGCCACCTGTTTTAGCCCGAGGAAAAATTTTTGGACCGAGATATAGGTTCTTAAATTTGAATAAGCATAAGGGGACCAAGCACTTTTTTGGGGTGAAAAATTCGAAAATGCAAATGATACCTCATTCGAAAGAGCTCCTCGAGCAGAGTCGAATGACACCAAAATCAATGAAATCCGACTTGATTGGACAAAGTTATGATCGTTTCTTTTAGCTCCTTACCTATGGCATCTGTGGAGATTTTTGCTGCTACGGAGGCCCCGAATACGTCCAGAGCAATGGAGATAGGAATAGGTTTATGTTACGAGCCCAGACCCAGCGCCCGTAGACTCCCCGCGAGGCGCGTGCCGCAAAACCCCGCGCGAAGCGCGGGGTTTTGCACAAGCGCCTCGCCGACGCTCCATAGGTTTAGGTTTTTTTGTTTTTTGTGTCGTAACTTTGTCTAATCTTGTCCAATCACGGTGATTTTGATGTCATTCGACTCAGCTCGTCGAGCTCTTTCGAATGAGGTACTATTTGTATAAAAACATTTTTATTCCAAAAATCGACCCTTTGGATCTTCGGTATTTTGGGGCCTATATCTCGGTCAATTCAAGTCGGATTTCGTTGATTTTGGTGTCATTCGACTCAGCTCGAGGAGCTCTTTCGAATGAGGTATCATTTGCATTTTCGAATTTTTCACCCCAAAAAAGTGCTTGGTCCCCCCTATGCTTTTACAAATTTCAGGGACCTATATCTCGGTCCAAAAATTTTTCCTCGGGCTAAAACTGGTGGCATTCGACTCAGCTCGACTAGCTCTTTCGAATGGTATAACATTTGTATATTAACTCCGGGACCCACGTACTAAAGTGACCCCGCAAAAATAGGGCATTGTTTTAAACACTTAAAAAATAATTAAAATTATAATAAAGAGCTTTATTCCGTTATATTTTTCACTATAACCGGATATTTTTCACTAGAAATCGTAAATTTTATTTTTGTCGGGAATCCTGTTCCCGAATTCTTGAAATTTTTCAGAAATGGTATCCTTCTTAATCTCAAATCCCTTTTTTTCAAAAATTCTGAGAAGTTTAGATGTCCTTAAGGCCTTGAAATTTTGAAGAAAATTTGAAGGCCTTGAAGCCAGATTTCTTCCATTTTCCACCAGCGGAGGCGAAAATTTTAAAATTTCTAAGCCATTGAGCCAACTTTCTTATTTTTTCAGCGCCGCAGGCGAAAATTTTGAAAATTCCGGAAGGCCGTAGGCGAAAAAACTCAATTTTTGGAGGTACAATGAAAAATTTTAGAATTTTAGAGGGCCAAAAACCGATAATTTTTCCATATATAAATAGAATAATTTTTAAAACAAAATTAAAATTATAAAATGAGCATTTATGAAAAGAAAAATATTAAAATTGGTTGTCCAGTGAATAGGAATCGAACCCAATATTAAATCATCAGAGACATAGATGCAGCCAAACACCTTTACCACTCGGCCACCCGCTCATAATATGGTGAATGAAAGGAATTGAATATATTTCTTTGATTTTCCTATTAACACCAAGTACGATAAGTACGAGCTCGTACTTAGGCCTCGTACCTCGTACTTTTCACTTTTTTTGGCCTCGTACTCGTACTCGTACTTCGTACCTGCCCAATTTTTTTGCTCGTACTCGTACTTCGTACCAGGTACGAGTACGAGTACGAGGTACGAGTACGAATTTTGGTACGAGCTTCGAAGCACTGGTTGCAAACATTCTAGTGATGCTCGGGAGAAGAAAAAACCCGGGAAACAGGAGTCGGGTTGGGAAATGACGGATATAGTGTAGTGTACCGGTGGTAAAAGTTCGGGACGTGACATATGTCATTCGATTCGTCTCGACGAGCTGAGTCGAATGGTACCACTCCCTACTTTAGGAAATGATTCTGGACCGAGTTATAGGTCCCGAAAAATTGAAAAACCATAGGGGGGAGTAAGCTCGATTTTGGAGTGAAAAATTCGAATATGCAAATAATAGCTCATTCGAAAGAGCTCGTCGAGCTGAGTCGAATGACACCAAAATCAGCTTGATTGAACAAGTTGGAGTCGAGATATAGGGCTCGAAACGGTCAAAAACCATAGGGCGGATTTTAGGGTCAAAAATTCGAAAAAGCATATAATAGCTCATTCGAAAGAGCTCGTCGAGCTGAGTCGAATGACATCAAAATCAGCTTGATTGTAAAAGTTTGGACAAAGTTACAATAGAAAAGTAAACAACATAAACCTATGGGGCGTCGGCGAGGCGCTTGTGCAAAACCCCGCGCTTCGCGCGGGGTTTTGCGGCACGCGCCTCGCGGGGAGTCTACGGGCGATGGGTCTGGGCTCGTAACATAAACCTATTCCTAACTCCCTTGCTTTGGACGTATTTGGGGCCTCCGTAGCAGCAAAAATCTCCACAGATGCCATAGGTAAGGAGCTAAAACAAACGATCATAACTTTGTCAAATCAAGTCAGATTTCGTTGATTTTGGTGTCATTCGACTCAGCTCGACGAGCTCTTTCGAATGAGCTATTATTTGCATATTCGAATTTTTCACCCCAAAATCGAGCTTACTCCCCCCTTTGGTTTTTCAATTTTTCGGGACCTATAACTCGGTCCAGAATCATTTCCTAAAATAGGGAGTGGTACCATTCGACTCAGCTCATCGAGACGAATCGAATGACATATGTCACATCCCGAACTTTTACCACCGGTACACTACACTACAGCCGAAATGACCTCGGGAGTCGGGATCGGGAGTCGGGAATTAGCAATAAAAAAATTTTTGGCGCTTTCGGCGCCAAAAATTCTGATTTTTTGCAGCGCAGGTGAAAATATTGGAAATTTTGGAAGGTAAAGAAGCCAGTCATCTTCCTTACTAGCGCTGGAGGCAAAAATTTTTAGAACTTTGAAGGTGAAAAATAATACTAAATTTAAATCGTTCATACGAAAAAAACGAAAAATAATGAGATTAATCATCATCATCGTCCCAGACCCTCCGATAAGGTTGTCGGATAGTCCAAATCCGATATCGGATATCAAAATCCGATATCTGAACCGAAAATTTTGGACACCCGTCCGGAACAAGAGGTTATATTTTTAAAATTTATGACTGTGGCACTGAAAATTTGACTCCACCAACAAAAATAGGGGTAAATTTATTTAAAAAATCATAAGTCTATAAAATGTAAATATTTTTTATATAAATTTATATTCATCTTAAAGCTCGCAAAAAATGCTATAATATAAGATAAAAAAAGTATATAAATCCTGGGACTTAACAGTGAGGAGAAGCAAAACTTAAATTCACACACCCTTGATCATATACTTTTGCACCAGACCGGAGCAGGACGAATAGGCGCGGCCGAATAGGCGCAGACGAATAGGCGCCATTTTTTCGGCGCAGCCTATTTTCGGCGTTTGAGGCAAAAACGCGTAAACACATCAATTTACGCGGAAAAAAGTTTTTGCCGCTGCGGAGGAAGCCGGGCATGTCGAGCGGAACGACGGCCGCCGCTTCGCTACGGTCGCCGCGAGCGCAGCGAGCACGACCGCAGCGAAGCACGGCCATCGTGTAGCGAAGACCATTTCTTCATATCCACATATCTCTTCATATCCCCTCTATATTATTAACACCTCCTATGCAACATTAATCACTCAAATCCATTGATATCTATCATTGATATTTCTCTTTATTACCGCAAATCCCTTTATCTCTTTAAATTCACCATAATCCTAGTAAATCACAGAAATCTTCTATACTTCAACTCCACAGATTCTTCCCTTTTCAGCGCCGCAGGCGAAAATTTTGAGGATTTTGGAAGAGCCTTAAGCCAAAAATCATTCCTTTTCTGCGCCGCAGGCGAAAATTTTGGGAATTTTGGAAGACCAAGAGGCCAGATTTCTTCATTTTTTATAAATAAAAATATAAGTTTCCAGAAAAAGTCATTCTTAGGGGTGTAAAAATTTCCCGAGTTAATCGGGAATTGACATCGGGAGTCGGGATCGGGAGGCCAAAAACTCGGGAAATTTTCCCGAGTCGGGAGTCGGGATCGGGATACCCGAGCATCATTAGAATATATACTTCAACTGCCAGCTATTATTAAAACCAGAGGGGACATTAAAATCGTTTACTATTATTTGGACAAGTTATTCAACTGCGTTTTTAAATATTCCTACTTTGAATACCATATAATCAATCCAAATTTTATTGAATTATTATTTGGGGAAGCTAAACAATTTTACGTTCAAAATTGCAATATTTCTATTAATAACCGCAATGTCAAAATTTTAATGCAATTGATTTTGAACAATTTGGCTAGCGAATATCATCGAATTTTTTTCCATCCAATGGGCGACGACACTATGAAGAAATATAAGGATGATTTGTTCAAAATTTTATTAAATGGAGGAGACAAGTTTGGGAAAGTTAATGTGATGTTCCATTCTTCTTTGGAATTTATTATGAGTATTTATGATCATATTGTTGAAGTAGGTTTTTAACTCAAAGTGGAAAATAAGGGATCACCCCAATATACCCTCAAAAATGTGAAGCCCTGTTCTAATGACTGGAAATGTTGTCCAGCAACTGAAAACAACCTTCCCGTTGTTGAAACAACACTTTTCGTTATATAGGTGCATCGATATACATATAGGATTATGAATGTTGTCGACATGTTGTACGCGGGTGGGGGTACACCTCAGTTGAGTCCCGGGCCGTATAACTTATGAGGGGGTGGATAATTTTAATGTTCTTGGTACCATTGGATAATGCATTAAATGGGTACACCCCATTATACCGCCGCCCAATATACCGCCGCCCAGTATACCGCGCCCATTATACCGCCGCCCAGTATACCGCCGCTAGTGATGGTCGGGAGTTAAAAAAACCCGAGAGTCGAGACCGAGACCGGGAATCGACCCCGAGACCGAGTCCCGGGTCGAGACCGAGAGTCGAGACCAAGAGATTAGGAGGGATATCAATTGATATACTCCTAATCCCCAAAAATCCCTATATATCCTTCATAATTCCCCAAATCACTTGAATCCCCAAATCCACAATATAATTTTACTCCTTCTAAATCTACCGATATCCACCTTAATCCACTGATATTCACATTAAACGCTTAAAATCCTCTTATATCCCTCAAAATCCAACAATATCTTCTTGATCCCTCGATCCCATGCACAAGTCTTTGATGTGTACTTTAATCCTTCAGAATCCTCAGATATCTCTCTTAATACTTTTTAATCCCTCTCTCAGTCTCACATGTCCCACGGGACATGTGACACAACAAATTACACAACAAACGTTGCAAGGCTTTGAAGCCATAAATCCTCCTATTTCATCCATTTCCTGCGCCGCAGGCGAAAATTTTGAGAATTTTGGAGGTCCTTAAGTCAGATTTCTTCCATTTTTGGGAGGTCCTTAAGTCAGATTTCTTCCAAATTTGGGAGGTCCTTAAGTCAGATTTCTTCCAAATTTGGGAGGCCAATAGCCAGATTTCTTTCTTTTTTACCGCGGAGGCGAAAACGCTGCGCCGCAGGAGGAAATTTTGAAAAATTCATGATTAAATTAAAATTTTTAATGTTTTTTTCAAGTTTAAAATATTAAGAAAAAATAAATTTAAAATTTTAAAATCAAAATCAAAGTTAAAAAACGTTTATTTCCGAAAAGAAAAATTTTCACAACCTCATTTCCACCTTAGGATTCGAACCCAGCACTTACAAAGGAGGGTGCCTCAGGTGTCCGTGGGACTTCGGGATGAAATTTGGTAGACAGATAGAACATACCCTTTCTATTGTAAATCTGAAACCATTTTCGCTGCGGGGTACCAGGGACCGAGTTATAAGCCCCCAAAGTTTTAGGATCCCCTCAGTTTTCTTTTCTACATATAAACAATTTTTTATTATTAACAAATGTTTCTTCGGTGGTGCAGTGGTAGCGTTCTTGAATTTAATTTTTTCCCCCAAGTTCGAATCCTGATTGGGGAAATTACTTTATTTTAACATAATTTTGGTTTTTGTTTTTGAAAATTTTGTTTTTAAAATTAAAAAAATGTTCTAATTTTTTTTTGAAATTTTTTTTAAAATTTTTTGAAAAAACTTTCAAAGGAAGGAATACTCACAAGGCTTTTACTGGAACACCCTGTTAATGAATAAAGGGCAAAAATAAATATTTAAAAATATTAAAAAAGTTTTTAAAAAAATTTTTGGCTAAAAACATTCGGATAAAAATCAAAAATTAATTAAAATAAATTAATTTCACCAACTAGGATTCGAACCTGGGGGAAATACTTATATGCAAGAACGTTACCACTGCACCACCGAAGAACACATTTGTAACTAAAAAGAAATTGTTTATATGTGGAGTACCCTAAAACTTTGGGGGCTTATAACTCGGTCCCTGGTACCCCGCAGCGAAAATGGTTCCAGATTTACAATAGAAAGGGTATGTTCTATCTGTCTGCCAAATTTCATCCCGAAGTCCCACGGACACCTGAGGCACCCTCCTTTGTTAGGAAATATTTAAGTGAGTGAAACAGTCAACTTAACCACTCAACCATCAACCATCAAAAGTAAATTGGAGAAATTATAAATATATTCCTTTCCCCTTTCCTTCAAAAAGTTCAAAAAATTTCCGTCATTAGGGGTGTAAATTTAGTCTCGTTTTCCGAGACTAAAACACCGAGACCGAGACCGAGAGCTCAAAAAACCCGGGAAATTTCCCGACTCGGGAACCGAGACCGGGAATCCCGACCATCACTAACCGCCGCCCATTATACCGCCGAAAAGATTTTTTATTATCTTGGCGGGGGATGTTAAATAGTGACGGGGGATGTTGGTCCATCAACGGGGGATGTTGACCCAATGACGGGAGATGTTAAATATTGACGGGGGATGTTGTTCCAATGACGGGGGATGTTGACCCGATGACTGTGGATGTTAATAAGCGAAGGGGGATGTTGGTCCGTCAACGGGGGTCATTGGAACAACATTCCCCGTCACTATATAACATCCCCCGCCAAACTAATAAAAAATTTTTGCGGCGGTATAATGGGCGGCGGTATACTGGGCGGCGGTATAATGGTCCCGCGGTATACTGGGCGGCGGTATAGTGGCCTGCTCCCGCATTAAATAGACTATAATTAGAGACCGGCAAAATCGTGTTTGCGGGAACCCGCATGCGGGATTTTTTAAAAAAATCTTTGCGGGGCGGGATCCCGCGGGAAAAACCCCGCAAAATCCCGCATCCCGCAAAATCCCGCAATTTAAATTTGCGGGATCCCGCGCGGGATTGCGGGATTTTCAAAAAAAGCGTTGAAATTATCAATATTCATTGAAAAAATCAATTTCCTAATCATTAACGAGTTCTTATCGGGTTCTTAACTGTATCTTACTTCATACCAAACTACGAGTACAATTTGGTACAACCGATAAGCACTTATACCGTGTCCCCAATTATCAAAAATATCATAAGGGGCAAGCTCATACATATTCGTCGGAAAATTCGAGTATAAAAATTAGAATAGCTTGAGCTGAAACAAATGTAATCGATCAATCATCTTGATCAACAATTTGGACAATTCTGTTTCGATGAAATAAAGATGATTCCATGGACGGCAGGTGAAAATTTTGGAAGGCCAAGTATTCATATTCCTTCCTTTTTCTGCGCTGCAGGCAAAAATTTCGAGATTTTAGGAAGGCCAGCGAGCCAAAATTCTTGTTTTTCTAGCGCCGCAGGCAAAAATTTTTTTAGTTTATGAGGTTAGGAGTAAAAATTTTCCATTTTCCAAAATCTCGTACAATTCAAAAAAAATTTGCGGGAAAAATTTGCGGGATTTTTTAAAAAAATCTTTGCGGGACGGGATCCCGCGGGAAAAACCCCGCAAAATCCCGCATCCCGCAAAATCCCGCAAATCGAAAAAAGTGCGGGATTGCGGGAGCGGGACCCCGCAAAATCCCGCGCGGGATCCCGTCCCGCGCCGGTCTCTAACTATAATATACCGAAAAAATGTTTGATCGATAAAGTGCCAAAAAATCACATTTTTTGAGAAAGTTAGTTTTTAGATTTCAACCTTTCTATAAATCAGTCGAGAAATTTGATTTTTAGTTACTTGTAGAAGACCTTCTCTATCCAATGACCTCTAAACAAATTTAGAGTTGAAGGGTCGGGACTTAAACGAGTTGGAACTCAACTTAGTTGATCCGACCGGGGTGGATCTAAAATAAAATTTAAATTTGTAGCATGTGGCAACGTCTAAAGACTTTTCGCAAGTGGTGTCTATCATTACCTTTGATTTCACTACACACAAAAATCTTAAATTATACAAGAAAGCAGAGAAAGTTGAAGTTAAGAAGTTAAATGATAAGAAATCTACAAATTATCAAGTTGTCAACATTCACGATCCAACGGTTAAATTCTCGTTTTGTAACAAAGAGGATAGTGAATCTTCGACTATTTATGTTAAAGTCACAATAATGAAGGAGTAGAATTTGGAAGGAATTAAATTGTTGATTTATTGGAGAAATAAATATATTGTTAAATTAAATTATTAATTATCTAAATTATTATGAAGGAATAATTGATAAATTATTTTTGTGTAGTTTACACCCCATAAGCACCGCCCCTTTTTTCCCTCTTCCTTTCATTAGAAAATGACAATAAGCACCACCCACTTTCTCTTATAAAATGACCATTTGAGTCAATATTTTCATTTTAATTTAAAGAGGAAAAGGGCGGGGCCTATAGGGTGTAAACTACATAAATATATTTATTGTTAAAAAATATTTCAAATTTTTTCATTGACTTTCTCAATTAAATTATTTTCGCATAATTTAGTATTTGCATTCATTTTTTGGTTTAATAAAGCCTTTAAATTTATTTTAAAATATTTTTACAAACATTGTTTAACCTTTATTGTACGCCCTTACACAACGAGCAAGTTACCTACACTCTCCAAATTTGTAAAAAATTACATTAAAAAATTACATGTGATTGGATATAGTTTAGTATACCTGAGTCTTAGTTTCGACACAAAACACCCATACCATTCGATTCGTCTGACCGAGCTGAGTCGATTTTCGGGGACCTATATCTCGGCCCACAGTTGTTAGTCTACATGATCTGTCTCATACTCTTGCGGCATTTTGTGATTTGGCGTTATGTGGAGGTGCCATTTTGTCCCGAATGTCCACTCTTTTCTGCTGTTACGTAGGAATATTTTTAAAAAATTCTTTTTTGTTTTTCATCGATTTTTTCGCTTTTTTGGAGCATTTTAGAAATTTTCTAGTGCTTATATTTAAATTGTCTTCAAAAAATGTTTTATTCTTTGCCTTCAGAAACGAAGCTTGACATTTTTAAATGTCTCAATTATCAACAATTATTGACATTCAAACTGACAAATGTTTATTTTCGTGACTTTGTTAATAAATATGAGGGGGAACTTGCTAAGGAGAAAATTCATATGATTTCTCTTGTAATTGCTTTTTAATTAATTTTGATGAAAAATTTTTTTCCTTTAAGGGTGATATTGGTGGATTCAATAAAATTCCTCGTAAATCGATTAAGCGTGAAGGTAAAAAATTTGACTTTCCATTGCCTGAAGAACTTGAAGAGAAGGTTTTTTAATTTTTTAAACATCAAACTTTCCCTTCTTTTTAGTTCAAGAATGGATTTAAAAAGCCTATTCCTTTGGTTTTATCTTGTCGTGGTGCTGAAGATGAAGGGATTCCTCTTATCTTGAAGAAAGGTTAATTTTTATTTAAAAAATTGATTGAAATATTGAAAGTTTTCAGTTTTTACTGAACGACTGTTTGCCTCTACTTTTCACAATATTTTTCCCGGAATCGACCCATCTGATCATCTTCCACAAGGTTAATATTCTTGAAGGTTAAGACTCTAGTGGGGGAATGACCTGAGGTAAACTAAATATTTGGGCAGACAACGAGGCTGGGCTAATTTCGCGTTCCGCTTTTTATTTTTAGATTTCGCCCAACACTGTTCCGTATGCTATATTACCTTAAATTTTTTATTAAGTATGCGAAAGCGTTTTGAAATTTTTTTTATTTAGCTAAAAAATTTTCAGTTGAAAAAACAGAAAGATATACACTTCACCTGCCACCAATGATCAAAAGCAAAGAGGATATCGAGATTGTTTACTATTATTTGAACAAGTTGTTTAAGTGCTCATTCAAATTCTCCTACTTTGAAGACTATATAATCAATCCAGAATTGATTAGATTATTATTTGGGGAAGCTAAACAATTTTACGTTCAAAATTGCAATATTTCTACTCAAGACTACAATGTTGGAATTTTATTGCAATTTGTTTTGAATAACTTGGCTAGTGAAAATCATCAACGTATTTTTCATCCATTGGGTGACGACACTATGAAGAAATATAAGGACGATTTGTATAAAATTTTATTATATGGAGGAGACAAATTTGGAAAAATTTATGTGATGTTCCATTCTTCTCCAAAATTTTACAAAAAATTTTATAAACATATAGTTGAAGTAGGTTGGTTTACCTGATATGAGTTAGAAATAAGTGTACAACGCAACTGAGTACCGGACCCTATAACTTATGAAGGAGTGAGCACTTCTTTGTGTTCTTGGACTAATAGATAGAGCATTAAATGCGCTACAATATACCCAAAAACTAAAATTCTTGAAAAAATGATAAAAAAAAAGTTATGATCGATAAAGTGACGAAAAATCGGATTTTTATGAAAAATGTTAGTTTTTAGATTATAACTTTTTACGCAATCAATCGAAAATTTTGATTTTTTGTTTTTCAGATAGTCCATTTAATTCTCTATCCATTGATACTAAGAACATTAAAAATTTTCCACCCCTTCTTAAGTTATAGGGCCGAGACTCATTGCCAGTTGAACTACTCGTTAAAATTAAATTTTAAATCTGTAGCATGTGGCAACATCTAAGAAAATTTCAAAAATGGTGCCTCATATTATTCTTCATTTTTCTCATTGCCCAAGTCTTAAATTACCCGAGAAGGCAAAAAATGTTGAAATTAAGAAATTAAATGATGAGAAATCTACAACTTTTAAAATTGTCAACATTTACGATCCAACGGTTAAATTCTCGTTTTGTAATGAAGAGGGTTATTACGTTCAAATCACAATTATGAAGGAATAAAATTTGAGATGAGGAAAATAAAGTTTTAAGATTTATTGGAGAAATAAATATTTATTTTTTTAAATACACTCTGTTCCAAAATTATAACCGCACCCCTATTTTTCTCAATATTTCATGTTCCAGTCAATTTTTTAAAAAGATTTTTTCAATTATCATATAGGGCCGAGGGATAAACAATATTTAATAATGAAATGGATTTTTTAATTTGAGGACGTTAAATTATTTAACTTTTTTTGAAATAAGGGTGTTCCAAAATTATAACCGCACCTTTGTTTTATAGGTTTCTAATAATGGGAAAAATCCACAAAAATTTGTGTGAACATATCTATTGATATTAATGAGAAATACAAAAGAAACGAAGTTCTAATATACTTCCATCATCGAGATCTTGAAACCCGAAAATCAACGGAAAACCGGGGGTAGACGTCTTTAAAAAATATTTTCGACCCCTTACAGGTGAAATAAAAATTTCATTTTGGGCCTATTTGAAACGGACTGGGACAGTTCCGTGACGCCGATTCCGTGACGCCGTTTCCGTGATTTCCCAGTTCCGTGACCTCCCAGTTCCGTGACGCCGGTTCCGTGACCGTTGTAAAAGGGGACGTTTCCGTGACTAATTTTTTAAATACATTATATTTTTATTTTTTAATAACATAATTCTGTTTTTTAATAAAATATTTAACCAGAACTTGATTGTCGCGTTCTGGATTTCCATCCCACTGCTGTTCCGAAGAGGAAATTAATAAGGCCGGGAATTTTTGTTTTATTTTTCAAGTTTCACATTTTTTTAATTTTTTAGTTGATATTTGATTCTTTTTTAAATTTTCTTTCTTATGTTTAAGCAAAACTTGTTGACGTGTGCCAAACTCCATCCTACGGCTGCAACAATGGAGAAATTACAAGGTTGGCATTTTTATTATATTTTTTAGTTTTCATGCCTTACTTTTTTTAGTTTTTATTTTGAAATTTTTCAAAAATTTTAATTTAAGACCATTTTTCTAGAGGATGTCAACGACGTGTCCAAGCGGTTTGCTGTTGGTACTCTGACTGGCGACCCTGTCAAGACAATTTTTGAAGGAATGGCAGCCGTGATGAAATTTGTCAACAACAACTTTAACCCAAATGGCCCTCTTTAGGGCCACAAATTTAATAAGTGAGACGAGACGATGACCCTTATTTATTTTTTTTGGATAAATTTTTGCTTATTTGACTCGTTTTTTTATTAAAATTTTGTTGCCTGAAGAAAAAAAGTCGAGACCAAGACTTCCCCCTAAACCCGAAAAAACCCAAGAAAAGCCTAGAGTAAAGACTCGGCTACCTTTTAACATATTTTTTAGATCGTAAAAACTAAGAAAAACAAAAAAATCTACGAGTAACCCCTGTTTTTCATGTATTTAAAAAACTAGTCACGGAAACGTCCCCTTTTACAACGGTCACGGAACCGGCAGTCACGGAACTGGGAGGTCACGGAACTGGTAAATCACGGAAACGGCGTCACGGAATCGGCGTCACGGAAAGGTACCCCACCGATTTGAAAGCCCTTGAAATTTGCTACAAGATAGCATGAATTTTATTTTTCGGCAAAAATTCACCTTTAAGACATAATGTGATAAACTTTCAAATCATAAAAATCACTCAAACGCCCCCCAAAAAGTTATGAAAATGTAATTTAGAAACTAAACTCATTATTTCTCAGGGATAAATTTTTTTCTTGATTATGAGATGAAAGCTATCTTGTAGCAAATTTCAAGGGCTTTCAAATAGGCCCAAAATGAAATTTTTATTTCACCTGTAAGGGGTCGAAAATATTTTTTAAAGACGTCTACCCCCGGTTTTCCGTTGATTTTCGGGTTTCAAGATCTCGATGATGGAAGTATATTAGAACTTCGTTTCTTTTGTATTTCTCATTAATATCAATAGATATGTTCACACAAATTTTTGTGGATTTTTCCCATTATTAGAAACCTATAAAACAAAGGTGCGGTTATAATTTTGGAACACCCTTATTTCAAAAAAAGTTAAATAATTTAACGTCCTCAAATTAAAAAATCCATTTCATTATTAAATATTGTTTATCCCTCGGCCCTATATGATAATTGAAAAAATCTTTTTAAAAAATTGACTGGAACATGAAATATTGAGAAAAATAGGGGTGCGGTTATAATTTTGGAACAGAGTGTATGTATTCCAAATTTTCTTTCATTGACTTTCCCAGTTAAATTATTTTCGGATAATTTATTTAAATTAATTTTTTGGTTGAATAAAAAAGCCTGCCAATTTATTTTAAAATATTTTTACAAAGAGTAGTTGGATTATGACAACCTTCAAGTTAAATTAGGCTCCGGTCTCACTTGTAATCCGTGTTATGGGCTCATAATGTTTCAAAGTCTTCAAAAATTATCGCACATGGACCTAAAAATTCAGAACTACATGTCTTTGAAATCATAAAATTATGAAATTATTTTGCATATTTCGCAAATACGAGGCCAAAAATAGGGCTTGTACGGGTACGAGAAAAAAATTGGCAAATACGTGTAGGCATGTACTAAAGTACGAATGGGCAGTGGCAGACTAACTCAGACAAATTTCTGCGTTCCTTTTACAAACGAGAGAGTGGTCAACAACACAGGCCTCTGAAGAGAGACATAATTTTGTTAGACAAAAAATTCCCTTAACAAAGCACCTCAACAAAACATACAAAGTCATCTCCCCTCATTAAAGTTGTTTTTGGCTTTGAGGAAATATATTCAAAAAATTCCCTGAAACATTGAGAATGTTCTCCTTCCTTCCTTCTCCTCCTCCACATTTTTTCTTAAATAAATAGCAGCAAAAATACACCATGTTAACTCATTATTTTTCATTTTTCTATTTTTTATTTTTAGTTTACTTCTCTTAAATTTTAAAAATATAAAACTCGAACTAATGACTCCGATTGATTCGAATATAAACGACAAAGCGAAATCTCAACAAAACGATCAAACGGGGAAAACAACTAATATTGGTAGTAATTTATAGTGTTGGACATTTCCAAGTTATCGAGCTCATACCCGGTTTTATTTCTATCGAACTAGCCCTGTCCGGGTTTTTCATCTTAAAACTCCGAAAATCCTGATTTCATCAAAATATCCGTTTTTCTGGCACTGTCCTGGGGTAAATAATTTAGTAGGGTGTAGGTCTTTGGGTTGACCCTCTGTTCACAAAATATGGTCAACTTTATCATCTTTTTCAAAATATGGTCAACTTCATCGACTCAGCTTGAAGAGCTCTTTCGAACGATATATAATTTGCCATAAAGTTTTGAAAAAAAATTCTAAGCTCAGATTCAGACTCAGCACACTCGATTATATACCGGCAAGCCTTAAAAATATCGAAGGAGCACTTTTTTAGCATTTTTTCCTAGGGACCAATGATCTTAAGGATTACCGAAATACGTTATGTTTAATCCTGTTCCCTCTTTATTTACGAGCTTGGTCTAATAACAAACTTTTCAACTTTGATTAGCCCCCATAAATTTAGGTCAGCCTTATAGTGTTACTTCGTTCACACCACAACAACAACAATTATATCAACAACCATTCTTGCATGCCTGCCAATCATTCCAGCAACAATATCAACTACGCTCCAATCCAATATCGAATCCTAATATTACAACAACTCAACCAAAAGTTGAGAATTTTGGGTGGATTGTCGGAGATGTTGTTTTTCATGTAATTTAAAGACAAAATGGAAATATTATTTTTTAACTTTTAGAGTGGATTTGGCCTTACTGAACTTCATGTTCTTTTAAGAAATAACTTTATAATTGGAAAAGTAAATTAATTATTGATAAATCTTTCGAATTGTTGAACTTTTTGGTACTTATGTCACCCCCTTTACACCTCCCCCCCCCCCCTTACACCTCCCCCCCCCCCCTTACACCTCCCCCCCCCCTTACTCCTCCCCCCCCCCTTACTCCTCCCCCCCCCTACACCCCCCCCCTTTACACCTCCCCCCCTCCCCCTAATAGAAAAAAATAGCATTTAAAAGGGGACTATGTAGAATCTAGCAATCGTTGACAATCCAATATCGAGTCGTAATGCGCGAGATTTTGCACTAGCGTCTCGCCGATTCCTATAGCTTTATCTTCCCTGTAGCAATATTCAACCTTTGAACGGAGTTTTGGGAGGATCTGGGTTTTGCCCTTCACCCTTGTACGCACCAACATTTTCTTTGCTCTCCTGAGTTCTTTATATAAGGATTTGGTTGTATTTTTATAAAAATTAATTTTTAGGAAGAAAAGAGTAAAGCTAAAGCAACATTGGATGCATTTAAATTTATTGAGGAATTACTAGTTGACAATTCTTCAAAGAAAGATGATAAAGAAGTTCAGACCCTAAAAAATGAAACTCGACATTTGGGGAACCCCCAAACGAAGGTAATTAAGCAATGGTTGGACTTGTTTGACTAACTGAAATCCATGAAAAATATATGAGCTCCTGTCTATATGACTGATTATAAAATCAACTGGAAAATAAGGGAAAACTATTCAGTCAGTTGCAGAAGAACGCTTGCTCCGCTTGATTTTGTCTTTCTTTTATGCATATGTGCAGCAGCATCAGGGTTGCGTCATAATTATCCGGAGATTTCCGGATAAGCGCAACGACTTTTGGAGAAAAAGACTGCGCATTTTACAACATCCTTCTCTGCTGTGCTCTTTATATGACCGCCGGATTTTTCGGATTTTTTAGATACGATGCGAGAGGGTGTATGTTACTGCACATTACTAGTATAAGAAAGACAACATCCGGAACAGGCATTTCTTCGCCGGCTATTAGAGTGCCGGAATTTCGTCTCTGGAACATTCGTCTCCAAGACTTTTCGGAACTTTCGTCTCCAACATTTTTGGAATTTTCGTCTCCAGCGATAATCATTTCAACTTATTTCTATCTGTTTTTGATCGGTCCCGATCAAACGAACGACCGACGTCATTAACCCCTCGTTTTTAACCACCTCGTTCTCCT